CTGCTGCTGCTGCTTCACGTTGAAATTTGCTGCTGATGCTGCATCGCTTGCTGCAAATGCTGCAGCAGCAGAAATTGCTCCTTTGCTGCCGTGGGGCCGCAGGGCCTGCCAGCGGTCGATCTCTTCGGCTGTTAGCCTCGTTTGGCACTCCTGCAGCAATGCTGCAGCAGCAGCAGCAGAAGCAACAGCAGCAGCACATGCAGCAGCAGTACATGCAGCAGCAGCACATGCAGCAGCAGCTGCAGCCACCACAGCGGGAGCGCTTCGCTGCAAATGTGGCCGCTGCGTCCCTCCTGACAACAAACTCTAGCAGCAGCAGCACCAACTGCAGCGGCAGCAGCAACAGGAGCAGCAGCAGCAACAGGAGCAGCAGCAGCAGCAATACCTCTAAGTGCTGCGGGGTCTCCTGCTGTGCATGCGAGGGCCTTCAAGAGAGTTTCAACCTTCTCCATTTCCCTGTTTACAAAACGAACATATCCTGCAGCAGCAGCAGCAGCAACAAAAGCAGCAGCAGCAGCAACAAAAGCAGCAGCAGCAGCAACAAAAGCAGCAGCAGCAGCAGGAGTGAGTGCCCTCGCCTCAGTGCAGCAGCACCATAAGCAGCACCAGGAGCAGCAACAGCAGCAGACACTGCAGCAGCTAAACCGCAGCAGCGGCAGAAGCGCGGGCGCTGCTACTGCGTACCTGGTGGAGGCTTGAGTCTGCTGCTGCTGCTGCTGCTGCTGCTGCTGCTGCTGCCGATGCTGCCAGGAACAGCAACCTGCAGCAAAGTCTCCTTTAGTGTTGCTGCGTCCAGCAGCAGCTGCTGCGCCCCCAGGGGCCCCACACGCTTGCAGCTTATGAGGGCCTCCCGGTACTGGAAAATGACTTGCTGCAGCAGCAGCAGCAGCAGCAGCAGCAGCAGATGAGATACTGCGCATGGCTAGCTGTAAAACTCCAAAACTTTCCTCGGGCCCTGTCTCTACAGCTAGCCAGCTGGCTAGCTAGCTAGCTGGCTGATTAGCTAGCTGGCTAGCTAGCTGCCCCATCAAAGTAGCTAGCTGGCTATCTACTGCAGCAAAGTAGTTAGCTGGCTATCTGCTGCAGCAAAGTCTCTAGCTACCTATCTGCTGCAGCCAAGTTGCTAGCTAGCTAGCTGGTTAGCTAGCTAGCTAGCTAGCCGGCCAGCTAGCTAGCTGGCCAGCTGGCTAGCTGGGTAGCTAGCTAGCTAGCTAGCTGGACAGCTGGACAGCTAGCTAGCTAGCTAGCTAGCTAGCCGGCCTACCTGGGCAACTTTGTCCACTAGGAAGCGAAAGGCTGGCTTTGTAAGGAACTGCGCTATTTGCTGCAGCCCCCGCCTCAAGCAGCAGCAGAAAGCAGCAACAGCAGCAGAAGGCCCGTCCACGCCCCCAGCAGCAGCAGCAGCAGCAGCAGCAGCAGCAGCAGCAGTTTTCTGCAGCCCCGCGCAGACCCCCGGGAAGCTAGCCAGCAGCAAATCCACCAGCAAACGGACGCAGCGGCTCTCAAGCCCAAACAGCAGCTCTGAGACACAAAACACACGTGCTGCTGCTGCTGCTGCTGCTGCTGCTGCTGCTGCTACTGCACCTGCTGCTGCTGCAGCAGGAGTGAGTCGTCTGCTGCCGCTGCTGCAGGAACCTACAGGTAGCTAGCTAGCTATTAGGCCAGCTAGCCAGCTAGCTGGCTATTCAGTAGCTAGCTAGCTAGCTAGCTAGCTAGCTAGCTAGTGGCTTACCGTTTTGCTGCTCAAAGGTGCACTTGTCTTTAATGGAAGGATCCACTGCTGCTTGAATTGCTGCTGCCATCTTCTGCAGCATTGCAGCACAGTAGCTGCAGCTGCCAATGACTGCAGCAAGACGCACCAGCTCCTCTGTTGCTGCGCTGCTGCTGCTGCTGCTGCTGATGCCGTTGTTGCTGCTGCTGCTGCTGCTCCCCGGGGCCTCTAGGGAGGCCGCGAAGGCGCCCGAAAGAAAAGCCTTAGAAGTGGGAACTCTAAAGAATAAAACGAAAATAAATAAATTGATTAATTAATTAATTAATAATAAATAGAATAAATAGGGAGGGAGGAATAAAAAGGACGAACGAAAAAGAAATGAATAAAAAAACAAAACGGCAATAAAAAGAAAAAATGAAAAGGAAACAAAACACAGCAGCAGCAGCAGCAGCAGTGGGTGCAGGAGCAGCAGCAGCGACAGCAGCAGCAGCAGCAGCAGGAGGCGCAGCAGCAGCAACCGCAGCGGCAGCAGCAGCAGCCGCAGCAACAGCAACAACAACAGGAGCAGCAGCAACAACAGCAGCAGCAGCAGCAACAGCAGCAGCAGCAGCAGCAGACCGTTGCTGCAGGGCGTCGACGTAGAGGGCGAAGAGGTCTTGGAAAAGAGCCACAACCTGCAGCATTGTGTCTTTAGTTGAAAATGAAAGAGTAGCAGCAAATAAGGATTTGCATGCGCTGAAGACTTCGCTCGCAGAGCCCCCCCCCCCCCCCCCCCCCCCCC